TACCGTATACCGAAAAATCATCTCTTTTGGTCTGAATGTAGATATTTTGTGGTAGTGTAAGTCCATTATCATAAAAGAGACGGAAATTATTTTTCTCGGGTCTCAACCGAGAAAATAAAGAAAAAAAAAACATCATGTTAGTTAAAAGCAAATTTGGATTTTCTACGGGCAATGTCGATCTTGGGAAAATTTACGCCTACCCATGAGGGATTTGCCTTCGCCGGGTTTTTTACCATTAGGATCACACACACAAACACGTCATCTAACGGTAACAAAATAAATAAATAAATAACGGAGAGAGCCCTCGGTAGGATCGAATTTACCCCGATCCTTATCATTCAGATTTCTACCTCGATTTGAAATGAATTATTCGTGTTAAAGACTGTATCTTGTTTAACATATGAGCTGCAGATAATCATATCCTACTACTCAAGCACAGTAAACTGAATTACAGATGTATTTGAAGATTAACAGCTAATGATATTCACCCACAAAAATCACTCAATCGCCATTCACCAACTACCAATCGAAATAAACTAAACTAAAAAAAAAAAAAAGAAGCTACAAACTGTGTAAAATTAGGGTTTTGCGGCCATACCAAATTTCGTCGCCTCCACACTTTCCTATAGCTGCGTCCCGAAGCCGAGTCTCGTGATTTTGAGTTGTCCTGTTTATGCAATCAAATTCCAGATAAATTATTTAAAGTTTAATCGAGGGATACTTTTTTCTCTTCGATACATAAATTGAAGATGGAAATTACAAACGAAGTAACAGGAAAATTTTACCTGTGATTGTGACCTAGTAGCAGCGCAGCTCGGCCGCCATTTATTTGCAGCTTTCACTTCGATCTTCTGCAGATAAATCGACCAAAACAAAATTAAGAACTATTATAAAGCCCCCCAAAAAAAAAAAAAAATCAAATAACAGTGGAACGAATAGGAAAAGGAAGATTACTGGTGAACAGTGTAAAAACGATAAGGTGTTGAGCGTCGACGAAGATAACGCCATTGATGAGTAATCTGCTAGCTTCAATTTTTTAGTTTTGTGAAATTTTTAGTGGTAAACAGTAGCATTTGCATACAGAAAGCTGATTTGGGCTCATCACTAATGGGCGGCCCAACTTTAGAGACATGAAAGTTGAGTGCTAATTACAGAAACTGCCATGCTATTACAAAAAAAGTTCCCTATTTTCATATAAATGTAATGTAATCCAAATATTCTCCTTTGGAGGTTACTTTTTGTGATGCATGATTGAATATAAAAAATTTTATTCGTTGTAGGAAAAAATATTTTATTGTAACTAATAATTTTAGTAATATGAAATAATGGAAAACTAAGAATAGTTAACCAAATATAAATAAATTGATAACTCATTATATTAAATCTACTTAAAAAGCTAATTTATACTTGATAAGTTAATAGCCGACAAACTAATTTTGAACTTATATGTTTAGCTTATGACTAATAAATGAAAAGTTATTTGATATTATAAAAATATTTGGTAAAATTAGTTAATAAGTTAGCTAAATAAAAATTGGAACATGCTTTTTTGAAAAAATACATACATGAACATGTTAATGACATAAACTCGATTTAGTTTTTCTAAGTTCGTCCCACGAAACTAAATTTAAAATATGTTTTGTAAATCTAGTTCAAAAGTTAAATTGTAGTTTATAAGTTAGTGTTAACCACAAGTTAATTTGGAACATATAGTTGCTTACTTATGAGTGAAAAGCTAAGTGAAGTCAATCAAAATATAAGGTTCCACGATTTTTTTTTTTTTTTTTAAAAAACATCTATATATGCTCATGAGATTAAGTTCAATTGTTCTGTTAAGTTTATCTGAATATAAAACTTATAAACTATCCACACAAATTGTAAAATAACTTATTATGCTACAACACATTCTTATTTGAATATAAAAAACTTATAATCTAACTATATGTGTTATAAGGTGCGTATATTAAAAAGCCGGATCAACATTATTGACATTAACATTTTCTACCAACATAACTGGGCTTATACAACTTGCACTCAATAATAGATTAATAACACACTTACAAATTACATGTATCTAACTTTTTTTTCGATTTCAGACAACACCCGTAGCTATAACAAAAATGGAGAAATTTCATTGACGATTATCAAAAATATTCGAAAATGTTATAAAATTTATATTAACTGAATTTAATATAAACATATTTACAATATAAACAGTAATCATGAATAGTCAGACATGAAACAACTACAACAACTTACTTAATATAGTAAGGAGGACTATACAAATGAAGTCAATATTTACACTTAACACACCCAGAAAAAACAAACTACAAGACTATGGAAAATTCAAGCTCCGAAAAAGGATAATAAAAACAACATACTACACAAAACACCACTCTAATATTGGAAACTATAATTAACCTTCCCCAACTGCTACTAAACAATTTGAAACACTACTAAAAGAGGCAACACCCGTAGGCGACCTCCCACGAAGACAGACGCACTGCCCCAAAAACAAATCTATAAACTCCAAAACGAGCAACAACCCATCCAAAGGAACCTTTCTAGAACAGTAACGCCCATCATCATAAACCACCCTAGCACCAATATGGCGAGGACTGTTGAAACCACCAAAAGAGACGACAACCCATGTAGTCAAATTCTTCTACCACAACACCAGAAATGACTCGGATCCAAAGGAGCAATCCGACGCTACTCAGACCCGACCACCACAAAAGCGGCAGGCAAAAGCCAACAGGACACTCCTCCCAATCGTTGGGACCCCAACAGGACCCACCATGGCCGGCCACCAGGATATGGTGAAGCACCACGCCGAAAGAGGCCAAGAATAGGACGAAACACTTATCGACAACTCGGTGCAGGTTGTCTCGTCGGCGGTGAAGAGAGACTGATAGAGAGGAATAGAGTCGACGAAAAAGATAAGTGAAGAGAGGGCAAGAATTGATGATTTTTCCCCTCAGAGAGAGGAAAAAAAAAAAAAACATTTTACCAACTCGTGGAAAAAAGGAGGATTATTTGATTTTCACTTTCAACTAGTACAACAAACTAGTGTGTACCCCGTGCGATGCACGGTAACAATATTACATTAACAATATTATAAATATACCTCGAGTTTGAGTCACTCAATGACGAAAGTGGAAACTACTATTGATCCTATTTAAAAAGAGGAGAAAAAAATAATAATTATATATTAAAGTGTCGGGA